TCTTTGCCATAGGGCTACTCTAGGAAAGTTTCAACAATAAAAAGGAAGAAACAAAAAGAGTATAAACAAAACCGAAGTAAAACAATAGAATAATAAAAAATGTTTAAAAAGATATCTCTAAATTGTTGGAAGTGTAAAGATGTACCTGGCACATTTTTTCACATGTGGTGGACTTGTAATGTTGCAAAAAAAATATTGGAGACTGATTCAAACATGGATAGAACAAATGGTAGGAGAATGTAGTCCATTTAAACCAGAATTTTTTCTTCTTGGAATAATACCAGAAAAATTTAAGAAGGAAATAATATATCTAGTAGTACATGTATTGACGGTGGCTAGAATATTATATGCACAATATTGGAAAAATAAAATTATACCTCCAGAAACAGAAATATGAAAAAAAAATTATGGCATGTGCAGAATCTGATAGGTTAACTTTCGAGATAAAAGACAAAGGAGAGTCTAAATATTATAAAATATGGAATAAACTTTATAAATGGTTATATAGTAAAAGACAAGGTCAAAATATTAGTAGTTATTAGATTAATAAGTAATGATTATATTAATGAGATTATAAATGATGAAGTAAAATGTATATGTGTATAGCAAGGATAAGTTGGATGTATTGTGTTGCTAGATTGATGGGTGGGCTGAGAGCAAAAAGAGATAGAGTCTGCCATCAATCTAGCAGCCTCTTCTAGCGTGAAGCTCCCCCATTTGGCAGAGCCAGGTCTTTAAGTGCCTGCAAATAGGAAGGCGGAGGCAAATCTTACCCTACAGAGTAAGATGTTCCAAAGGATATTATAAAGAATTATATAAATATTTTTATTGATGTGAGAATTTTCACCTTCTGAAAAAATGCTGCCTGTCTTATTTGCAGCAAGGATGATCTGTGTAACCTTTCTTATCAGATTATTGGATTTTTAAAACTAAATACAGCTTTCAGCATTTCTACCTCAACAGGAGCACCTGCTTAGTACAGGACTTAAATGGAAAGCAACCAAGGAATACCATGGCAATAGACTAGATTGCAAAATTGAAAAGCATTGTATAAGAATGCAAATTGTTTTCATATTATTGCCGAGAAAAGTATATGAATGTATCCAGGAAACATAGCTGATTTCGAGTAGATTTTATTTTTTACACTGTGATGCTCAGTTTTCCTTTTATACCTTTTTTGATTAATTCTATCCATGTAAGAGCAAACCAGCAGGAAACTATTGACTCTTGCAAGATGAGTCTCACCTGGGTAGTGAATTATCATTCTTGATGGTAAGCACCCTCTCCTTGCTTTTATTGTCACTTATATGGAGTTCTTCAAATGAAACTTTAACAACTCCATCTAAGTCTATTTTCTAAAAGATAATAAAAAGAAGCAGACCAATAAATCTAAAATTTAACCAACACATATGTTCTGTATTCTCTTTCTCCTTTTCTCTGACCCTTCTCTCTCTCTCTCTCTCTCTCTCTCTCCCCCTCCCTCTCTCCCTCACACACACATGCATAACACACTTTTTACATATTCCAGGTCATTTTGAATAATGAAGAACTTTTACCTTTATTTTCTTGACACCATATCTACCATATCTATATTTGTTATATTTCTTCCTTTATGTCATTTTGTAATTTAAATTTAAAATCTTGAAAGTCATATTTTCTTCCTGCACAGCAACTGGTTCAGACCTTGATCATTTTTGCTGCCTTTTCTGTACCTTTTCCAGTTGCATAGTACTTTTTTGAAAGGTAGAAACCAGAAGCAGATGGTTAATCAAATTATTCACTAAGCAAGTCATTATCACTTTGATTTCCTTCTTGTATATTTGAACATTTATTTATTCAGTTTCTACAACATTCATCTCAATCCAGTTGACTCTGAGCACTCACCACCTAGAGTCATTTATTGAGAATTCCTATTTACAGGAATTATCTGGATAATATAAAATACGGGTAAATTAAAATTTAATTTAAAAATAGAAAGTGGTATAAATACAGTGCAGAGTAACAAAAAAGTAATTTGAAGCCAAACTATAAAAAACAGTATGATAAGATAAGCATCAGAAAGGAGAACACCATTTAAAAAAAACAACCACAATAATAAATATAACTAAATGGAAGAAACCCAAACTGTCAGGAATGACTCTGGAAAACAAATTAATCATTTTTTCTAGTTAAAGTTTCTTTCATTTTTCCCACTCTGTGTTTTCTATTCCTATTTTAGTTTTTTCAGGAAATGACTTGGTACAAATGCCTTTGAGGCTGAATGAGGCCTTGCCAACAGCTATTATATATTTTTTAATAGCAGTTTCTTTCCATTCACCTAAGTCCCTATGTTAAAATATTCTTTTCAAGGCTTCCTGGACTGAGTGAGTTCTAATATGTGCATTCTTGCAATAGTACTTCTCATTGATTGCATTTATTGTGAAGAGCTGATCAACAACAAGCATAAGTGGTCCAGAATGCATGCAACAACTTGTTCATTAATTCTGGTCTCAAAATAGTAAGAAGTGGTCAGGACAGCTTCTTCAGTCATTCTCTTTCTGTAATGTAAGGTTTCAGTCTTAATTCAAATTCAACCTAAGTTGTGAATAAAATTGCCACCTAATCACTTTCTTCCCTAATTTCATGCAAACTTCTCAAGGACAACTGCTGAAAGCATTAGAGGAAAAAAAGCAGGCTTAATTATATATTCATTATGTACCCCCTTGTTTCTAATCTTTCTTCTTCTCAAGACACTGTCTGGTATATTTGCTGTACAAACCTTCATGGTGTGTTTCCTCATGTGATGGGAAGACACTAAAGATGCACATGTTTGAACCAGTGCTTCTAAAGTCTACTTGCAGTATTGTAAAAGCACTAGCTCAGTCCATGTAAGGTGCTAGGCAAGTTTTAATTAGTTGGTGTATTTCCCTTATGACTGAATTATTCGTTAATGTCTTCTTAGCTGTTTCCAATGAAGTTGAATGACATTGCAGTGCTAATTGAGTGCTGGGTTTGAAGATATTCTCTATTAACTCTGTCAGGTCCTTTGTTAATTTCCCTACAAGCCGAAGGTCTTTCCAACAGGAAAGGTCATTTGCTGCATTTTCTTCAAAGCAAGCAAGCAAGGGGAATGAGAAGTACAGAATTTGAACCTCTGGGAGGGGTCTTTTCTTCTCAAAGTTGTGGAGATTATTTGTACATAAAGACTTACTTACTCTGCATACTAGTCCAAATCATTCTATGCAGTTAAATGTTTTCATTTTCATTTCCTGCAGTTAAGTATTTTCAGTTGAAAATTATTTTTAAAGAATTTAATGCAAATAACAAATTATTTTGATTGTTGAATGCTCAGTGGATTTGCTTGTGTATTATCTTATACACCCAGACTGTGTAGCTTCCAGTAATACATTCAGTCCTTGTAGTCTTATCTGCGATAATAGTTGAGGTTTTTTTTTTAGTTTAGCTTTGCTCTGTTTTGATTAAATATTTCTAACAGAGATTGCTCTAAAAGTTTATTTATTCACTATTAAGTTTAATTTGCACCTTGCCACAAAATATAATAGCAGACTGGATCTATGATGAAATATTGTTCATTGATTCTTACCAACATCCATCCATTACACCACTGAAAATTGCATAGCTATGGAGAAAATTAAGCTCACTTTGGGATGACTATGACCAAGTTCATTTATATTTGAGCAGAGGTATGATAAAGTTCAGGAATAACAGTGGTAAATCTGTCTTCCCTAGGAAGGCATCAAATTAAAGAACATAAAGAAGAAAAAATGTATGTGACCAAAATGTGATACAATTTATAGGTTTGTAGTGAATTAGCATAAATATGTGTACTACAGTGTTCAGCTGTGTTAGGACTATCAACAGGCTCAACAGAGAGAAAACAGAGATTATGCTGTAACACTTTGTTGTTGGGTTATTCAGAGAACACCTGCAGAAAAATATAACCATACCTGGCTAGACATGATTTATATTCTCTCTGAAACCATTGCCTGTCAATTTGGGGAGATCTGAGTTGGAGAAAATAAGTTTGTAGTTACACCTCAAATTCCATCTATATGTAGTTATTCTGAAATTTTTGACTATTTGTTCCTTGGGGTAGGGGGTGGGATAGGTTTAAATATCAGAAGGGATGCCTTAACCCTTTCAAAGGTTTAATTCGTTAATGGAATCCCTTTAAAATCCTAAATTCTCCCCATCCTAAATCCATTCATTTCAATTCGTGGATGATTTAAGGGACAACAAAGTTCCTTCAGATTTTTCAAGACTTTCAAGACATTCACTTCATAATTTTTAGAAAGAAAAAAAATTGAAAAATTTAGCTTCTGCCACAATTGTAATATTACAGTATTATTTATCCAAGGTTCGCAAGCCCAAAAGGTTGGCCATTCTTGTTCTAAAAATCAGGAATTCTATTGGAATTATATCGGATGTTCTAATAACCACATTCTTACATTACATAGCCAATATGTCATTATTCAAAACTTTGGGGATTGGATGTGTTGTGTTTTGAATTTGAGTAGAGGGCGACTGGTGAAACCTTCTTAAACTAGCTAAGCCTTTTGGAAAAGTTGGAGAGTGGCTGCATGATCCCAGGAAAAGATATATTTCAGTTAAGGAGATGCCAATATTGTGTCCACTTTCAAAGCTCCACTATATATTTTCTTTAGCTTCTTTGTGGATATACTGACTTGTCTCCCCTTCAGATCATCTATTCAGCTTCAAATCTGAAGTGCAGCACGTTCTCATTCACTGGATACCTCTCAAAGACAGGAAAATGAATGCTTGTGATTGTGAAATACTAAAGACAGGATGAATAGGGAGAAAATGGAAAATTAGAGAAGGAAGATGAATGGAGTAGCATATTCTGGAAAACACCAAGAGTGGCTTTCTGAAACTCTTAGCAGGATTCCAGGTTCCCTCTTGTAAATAAAAAACAAAAACAAAATATCTTTGACTTCTTTTTATCTTCATTAAGAATCCTATCTTATCTCTTTATCTGATAGGTGCATTTTATGAAATGGTTCAGAGCTTCCCTCAAGTGGAGGAAAATGTGCATATGGACTCCTACAGATATAGCCACAGATGGAAACGACATTCGGAATTGCTCAAATCAGTGGACACCAACAGAGCCAGCATAGGACAGGACTCCTCAGAACCTGGAGGTTTTACAGATCTACTTCCTGATGACACCCATGATAACACTACGCAAATTGAGGTAGTGGGCTATTCTCTGTTGATGTTGTTGACTTCAGATAGCTGCACAGTGAGCAATGATATAAAATCACATTATCAACCCCTCACAGCTTTCCCATAAAAGAAAGCTGTTTAGCAAGTACAGGCATTTCAAAACCTTATATACCAGAACAGGGAGCTGGCCCAATCAGATACCATATTAAGGATACATAGACAATAAGTAATGCAACACCAAGGATATAGCTTTTCATTACAGAAGTGTTCTCATCTCATCTGATTAAGTTAGTTCACTCCTGTGCCACACAAACATAAACAAAGATATATAGAGAAAAGGAGAGAGACCTTACCCATAAACCAAAGTCTTAATGCATGTTGTGAATTCTCTTTTCTTTCTGTATGCCCAGTGAGTCAAAAAAAGCAGGTTAATGTGTGCAAGTTACAAAAAACCCTGAGATGTACAATACATTTCTATGGACCAACAAGCTTCCCCCTTCTTATTATATCCACTTTGTTCTGAAGACTTAACTCCAAAATAAAGAATCTCATGAATATTTAAATCACTTCCATTGTACATCCATGGATGTCAATTTTCATGTCTTGGGAATCCCAGAACAAATAGAACTTAAAGTAGAAATATATATGTGCATTATGCTCTTACGCACGCACACATGTGCGTATTATGTATTCATAATAAATGTCTTTTTATAATAACCAATATTTATCCAATAGATTTAAGCTCATCAGTAGTTCTTCAAAGACACAATTAATTTCAGCTGCTCTCTTTTCTCATATTTAATGTTTCTATGAAATGACATTCACAAGAATGAACTCCTTGGTATAATGCAACACAATGTAATATTATTTGAAAATGCTATGCAAAGATAACCATTTAAATTTCTGGTAACTCTTCTCCATTCCCTGGCTTTATTATCGTGGTTAGTTTTCCTTTCTTATTTTTTGTTTCCAGTCATTATTAGAATCTTACGAAGAACAGAAATTACATTACATTTGCTTAATGAAATTGAAGTGTGAGGGTTTTTAAAAAAAGTTTTAAGAAAACACAATTATAATTTGTTCGTCATTTCCATGCTGCTCTGTAGCACCTAAATTAATTTCCTATCACCATGATGGTTTGGTTACTTCATGTAGTTCCGTTTCTGATTCCATTTGCAATACACAAAACTTTGCATTGTATTTTAACAAGCTATCTGTCAATGCTGTACCTAAAACCATCTACAGTAGTCAACTTAGAACCACATTTGGGACCAGAATTTATACTGCTAGCAAGGTAATTGTTAAATGAATTACACAAAATTTTACAACAGTTGTCAAGTAAACCATGTAGTTGTTAAGCAAATCTTCCTTCATTGACTTTGCTTGTCACAAGCCAGTTGGGAAAGTTACAGATCAATATAGGATACTGCAACTGTTGTAAATACATGCCAGTTGCCAAGTGCCTGGATTTTGATCACATGACAGTAAGAATACTGCAATAGTGTGACTCTGACACTGATGATGTTACTGCAACAGTGTGACTGACACTGATGATGTTACCTAGTTGGGTAATGAAATATCTGCAAGCAAACAGTCAGCCTCAAAGAGCACCAAGAACTACAGAGTTTAGCTCTGAGCTACATACATTCTTCTTTTAAATAGTTGTCAATCCATAGATTGACATTGCTACTGGAAGCTGGGCAGTATATAATTTATTATTGTTATATTGCAAAAAATGTGAAATCATATTTAATAATTTTCAAGATGCTCCAATGAGTCATTTTGGTAACTGTGTTATAGTTCTTGTTTTTAATTATTTTATTGTTATTTTTATATTCAACCCATAGATAAATATTAATAAGAAATTGGATAACATATGAAGACATTTTTATGTAATAAGTAATAATATACATATCTATATATACATATCACATTTTATATTGGCTCCTATGAAATATTAACATGTAGCTCTACCATCTTTCAGATTACAGGCTTTATTTAAATTTATCAATTTAATTTCCTCTCATTTGGCAAATTATGACTAGGGAAAATTATCTTTTGCAATTATTTTCTAATCTGAATTAGAAAACTAGTTTTGTATATTTTCAGTTTTGCATGTAGTCCAACTGTTTCCTAACATATATACAATGATAGGAAATTGTGCTCACTATGATCCATAAATGTAGGTAAGACCAAACAAGTTCCGGATTCTAATGCTGTTCATAAAAAAGACCTTCATTCAAGATTCTATGCTTCCTGAATATCCAAGAGAAAATTTTGGGATTGAAAGCTCCAACATCTTTCCTCTTCCTCTTTTAAAAAGAAAGGAAACAAATTGTTCTAGTTTCATATACGGTATATAAACAGAATTCAGTGTAACATTAGAAGGCTGTAAAGCCTACCTACTTTAAAAATTAGTTAATTTAATGAAATCAGAATTAAGATATAAGATATTTCTTATTTCAGAATAATTTATATTTCAAGTCTTCTGTGTGTATTATTATATTAATGATTTATGACACATTGATAATCTTGATTTAAAAACCTCTTTGCAAAAAAATTAAAATAGAAGATGCAAAACCCTTTAATAAAAGTAATGTATTTCTATTTGAGAATCATATATATTTTAGACAATATATGGAACCTGCTTCATAAAATCGTTGGTGTCACGTGGTGAATTAACAGCAGATTGTGAGTTATAGTTCTGTTTTAGGCACAAAGTCTCCTGGATAACCTTGAGTCTGTCCCTTTCAGACATAGCACGGACATAGCAAAAACAAGGACAAGAAATTTCCAAAAATGTTGCAAAATTTCCAAAAAAGTAAACTCCAGGCACACCTCTGAATAAATATGCACTCATACAGTCACATAGATAGAGAGCATAATATAGAATTGTTCTTATGTAAGGAAGAAATAGAATTGTGTTTCTAATCTCCGGAGATCAAATCTGCTTTTTATAATTCCTGCCATTTTTATTTAGATAATTAACAGATAGGGATATCCCCGGAGGAGGGGCAGTGGGTTCAAAATAGTGGATGCTATTTCCAAAAAGAGGTACAGTGTTTATAGCCTGAATTGTGCCAAAATGTTCATCCTGTTGTCCTGTTTCCCATGAAGTCTTCTTTAGATTATACATACCTGAAGACATATTTTTCAAGAGTTATTTTTTTTTTAAATGTATGGTAAAATTCATTCTGAATTGTGATATAAGAGATAGGCACTTATTAAAATATTTGACTTTATACTACACGAAGAACTGTTTTATATATTTTTAAATGTAAAAATTATCTTGCAACATTGAGGATGAATAAAAATTGCAAATAAGATAAATGTAATCTGCCTATTTGTCTAAAACAGCCCTTCCAAATGATGACGTCCTCCATATATTTAACTTCACAAAATTCTCCTTGCCCCCATGACATTAGCAGGTAATGCTGTTAGTTAAAGTATATGAAGGGAAGAGTTCCAAGGTTAAGGAAGGTTAGCCTGGGATATGCAGGATTATGCAGATCATATTGGCATTCACAAATTATCCATTTTTGTTAGGGATAATTTCAAACGTGAAAGCCCCCTGGAGTTATTAATAAAAAGAGCCAACCTGAGCAGATGCAAATTACTAGTTCCACTGAGAAGGAAACAGCTCTTTTTCTCTCTTCCCTTCCTACCCATCTATCAAGAGCAGACTTTGCAGTCAGAGTATAACTTCAAGGCAATTAAGCTGTTGCACTTCTCATTTTAGAAATCAAGAATTGGAAAGAACAGATAGCAATCAGTGGTGGGAGAAAAAAAGTCTTCTTCTTGCCTTAAAATTTCAGAGTTAATTGCATATGGAACATTTTCTAGTCCAAACCTTTCCTCGCTCTTCAAAACTGCAAACAGCTGCAGATCACCTTCACAGTTCAATTCACAAAGTAATTCAGTTATGCAATTTTATTTTATTTTAAATGAGATGAATAGTTGCTTCAAATTTTACCAACAAAGTTCCTTTTAGATGGAAAAATGAAAATAGTATAATGACCAAAAGTTGGTGTTTTTTTTTTAAAAGACTAGCTAGTCTTTAAAGTCTATCATAGATGAAATCATGATATTTGCAGATTCCAAAATTCCTTGCTGCTGAATATTGGTAACAATTGGTCCTAAGCATCAATAAGGCAATCTTTTCATATCTTCCCTACAAGTATACACTACATACATAAAGAGAGAAAATTAATTATATCTTATACTCCATTTCTCATTTCAATGTCAGTCTGAATAAAGCTTTTCCTGATGCAAGGTAAATAGACAGAAAACTACTATTAATTATTGTATTAGGGTAAGGCAGTGATGGCAAACCTTTTTGTTGTGGTGTGCCAAAAACGTGTGTGCGCGTGACAGCATACGTGCGTGTGTGACAGCACCCACAATGCAGTGTGCCCTGCCCCCCTTGTGCATGTGCGTGCAACACTCCCACCCAGTTCCCTTACCTGCACTGCGCATGTGCATGCCTCCCAGCTCATTTTCGGCCTGTTTGAGGCTATTCTCGGCCTCCCAGAGGCTTGAGGAAAGCCTCTGCAGCCTCAGGAGGCTGAAAACGGGCCTTCCAGGAAATACCAGAAGTGCCTGTTTTCAGTTTCCGGAGGGCCTCTGGAGCCCAGGGAAGGCCATTTTCACCGTTCCGGAGGCTCAAGGAAAGCCTCTGGAGCCTCTAGAAGCTGAAAATGGGCCCATTTTCCCACTTCCAGTATTTCCAGAAGGCCTGTTTTTCAGCCTCCCAAGGCTGCAAAGGCTTCCCTCGAGCCTCTGGGAGGGTGAAAACGGACTCAAACGGTCCGAAAATCAGCTGGGAGGCACCCATGCACAGTGCAGGTAACTTTGGCTGGGGCTCGCGTGCCCTCACAAATGGCTCTGCATGCCACCTGTGGCACGTGTGCCATAGGTTCGCCATCACGGGGCTAAGGGATTAACTGATATTAATTTCATGTTTATTTTAAAAGAAACAACACCTCTTTAAAAGAAAGGTTTAAAACTTTCACCAAAGTAACTAGTTTT